AAACAGCATTTAAAAAAAAAACAAGTATGATAGATCAAAGTAAATTATAAAAAATTGTATCGACAGTTTAAAGAGAACAATATGTGAAATATAAAGAGGTCAATCATCTGTGTAATTAATACAAATATATATTAGGGTGATTCTTAAAGGAAATATCGACTTTTTTTGCTCCTAGGATCTCAAATGCTTCCAAATTGTTAGAAAAAAATTATCTGAAAGTTTCAGATCTTAATATTAACTTTAAGATAGTTCGCACTCCAACCAAAGTTTTTAGGTTCCTTTTCAAGGAAATACTTACTTTATAAAATAAATCAAATTGTTGTATTTTTTTATTTATAACCAAAATAAGCAAATATAATGTTATTCTCAAAGTTTTGATTCATTTGTCGCTAAGCTATATAATTCTAAAAAACAAATGGAATTTTTAATTAAGTTAATATGAATAGCTGAAATTTTCATAAAATTTTTTCATCATTTTGGAAGCATTTGAGTCCCTTGGAGCAAAAAAAAATAAAAAATATCAATATTAAGGACCACACTAATATAAATAAGTGTGTGTGTATACGTTCCATTTCGAGTTATTCATACAGGTTGATATGAGCATTTGGAATGCCTTAGCAAAAGTAGTTCGGTTGTTGAAAAGTTTTCCCTTGCCGGAAAATCGTCTTTAAATACACATATCAGTTCTCATGCAAACTCATGAAATTGACCTGTTGCGTTCTCTATATACGATATACTCTACTTATAAATTTACACATTTCTAATAAATAAAATAATGCAAAAAATTGGAAGTAAAAGGAAAGTGGAAACATACTTGAGGTTATAGATCTCAGATATAATACAAATACTTTGAGTATAGTTAATTAGTCAGAACTGGATTGGACAACTACTGGGTTGCCATCCATTTAAAAACATCTATATAATAAAAGTCAAAACTACAAATTACTTATGTCCTAGCATGAATGATTGTAATTAAAAGTTAAAAAATGGAAACATATTTGAAACCATCAAGTGCTTACAATGTATCAGCGCAAAATTATTACTAAAAAGATTAAGAAGTAAAATACAACAATTTGTTTGCAACTAACAAAAGTATTAACAATTATTGTATTAATGTAAGTTGTCCTTATAATGAGAAAGTGAAGACTATAGTGTAAAGTAAAATTATCTTCATCAATTGAAAAGTAGGTTATGTTGAGACCATGGAGCCAATTCTCCGATAAAATAGAAGTTTAACAAAGAATTGTTATGGCAACGCTATGTTACGGCCCAATCTTCATATGAATTGGTAGACAGGCGTTTTGCATATAAAACCTAAGCTAAAAAACGCACAATGTTATCATAAACACAGCTTTCTAATGTGCCCATACGTAAGCACATACGTAAAGTTAGGTTTTATGTGTAAAACACCTGATGGTACAGAAAATGCATAGCATTTCAATAGTTTTTACTACCAATTTATCGGAGATATTTTATCGGAGAATTGCCGCAAATTAAATGTATGAAAAGTTTTCTCTTCAATCTTCCAGTAAGTGGAATCCATTATACTTGTTTAACTATGGTGGATATAAATGAACTGATTATTTTAAAAAATCAGCTTTAAAATCACTTCATAATTATAATTAAAATGATTTTGAATCACTATCCTCATTAAATTCGATATGTGTACCAATAAATAGGAGCTTTGCGTCCAATAAATTGGAGCAAAATAAGGTAAGGTTTGAGCCAGGTGGTAGAAAATAACCATACAAAGAAATAATCCAACAATAGCACAAGTTAGAAGCATCAGAACAGAAGTTAAATAAGAAACAGGCCATACTAGCAACGACTAGTTCTGGGTTTGATACCTTGGCCAGCTTGATATCGAGCAGTGGTGATATTAGATTTTCACTTGAGATGAATTGCACATATGGTAACACGTGAAAATAGTCTTTCAGTACATTGCTGTTATATATATGCACACTACTTCCAGAAATATATTTAATAGGAATTCATCAGAAAGTGAATGGTTTAACATGGGGTTAAATAATGTACATCACTACAGCTTGTGGAGCACAAAGCTCTGACTGCTATTTAAACGTAAAAATAAAAAAAAAAAAAATAAGTAAGGATTCAATAAAATTTAAAGCATTTTATCATCTGATCTATGTCAATGTTCCAGGCGAATCTTGGCACAACACCCAATGCAATGGGATGCATTTTAATAACCCACAAAACCGGTTTGCAATCAGCCCTTACATTTAATGCACTCGACACATTCATTTCGTTCACGTTGTGCCTGATACAACATATTTGTGGACCAATGTTACAAATCATCGGAATATTTTTACAGTTTTACAAGTGAACTGCATTTTTTATAAAACAATAATAATGAATTAAAATAAATAAATAATAAATAAGTTATAAATAAAAATAGTAATGTTAATTAAAAAAAAATTAAGTTCATAGAAATCTGAGTTTCACAAGTGCAATGCATTTAAAACAAAATAAAAAATAAAGAATAAATAATTATATAAATATAAATAAATAGCAAATAAAAAAACAAATAATGCAAATAGAAAGGCAATACATTTTTTACAAAAATAAAAACAAAGAATAAATGATTAAATGTATAAAAATAAATTAGTATTAAATAAACAAATAATAGAGCAAATTGAAAGACAATAGTAACGTTAATTTTTAAAAAAAATCAAATTCGTAGGAATTAGTTTTACAAATGCAATGCATTTTTGAAAGAAAGAAAAACATAATAAATAATAATATAAATAAGAATAAGTAGCAAATAAAAAAATAAATAAAGCAGACTGAAATGTAATAGTAATAAATTAATTAAAAATAATCTAATTTATCGCAATCTCAGTTTTACACGTAAAATGCATTTTTTTAAATAATATAAATAGCAAAATTCAATGCATAGTAACATTATAAAAAATGATAATTCATCAGAATATGTGTTTTACAAATAAAATAATTTTTTGAGAAAAATTAAAGAGCAATTTTCAAGGTAATGGTAATACATTAAAAACCAGTGGTTTCCAACCTTTTCATATCGCGACCCTGCATTTTGTGAAAAATTATTGCTGCGTCCACCTTTTAATATTTTTTAACGGTCTAATGTTATAAATATTATAAAATTAATAAAAATAATCGATTTATCAAGCTGCATATTAATATAAAATATGTCAAAATATACATACAAAAAATTATTGATTCATTAAATTTTCATATCATTTCAACGTTTTTGGAATATTTTTTCTGGAAATAGAATTTTCAAAGCTGTACGCACCCTTGTAACAACCTCGTGCCCCACATATTGGAAACCACAGCATTATTTCTTCTTCAACACTCAGTTTTACAAGCAAAATTCATTTTTCGAGAAAAATTAAATAGACAAAAGGATAGTGGTGCATTAATCGAAAATTTTCAAGTAATTAGAGTTTTTAAATAACTCTTTTGAGAAAAATAAATTAGAAAGAAATAGTACCAAATTGATCGAAACTTATAAGAAATGTACATGTAAAATGCATTTTTTTAAATAAAATAAATTTCGATGTATTTGTACCACAATCGAAAATGTCAAACTCATGGTTACAGGTGAAAAATTAAATAACAAAAATACAATGCACAAAATAGTAGCACATATTCGAATATTTTCAAATAGTAAAAGTAAAATGCCCTTTTAAATAAAAATTAAATTAAGAAATAGTAAAAAAAAGTTAAACATTTTCAAATTGTGAAATGTCAAAATCAGGCGGTGTGAAGTTATCAATGTTTGGAACTACATGATACCAACATTAAAAAAGTATGAAAATGATTTTTACTAGAATTTTTATACATAATATTAATTTAATATATAAAACTACTCAAAATTATAAATAGGTAACAGTGAATTTAAGCTTTTTTATTTAATATATCTATAAATAATTATAAACAAAAATTTACACTGGCATTCATTATTCAGTTATTAAACAACAAAAAAACTAATTCATGTTAAAAAAAATTGAAGACGTTTTAAACGTCAGTTTGACTCTTTTTTAGTGAATAAAATAACAAAACACAAATTTAATAAATATATAAAATTTAGATCAATAAAAAATTAATGAAACAGTATGACAGATTGATTGGTTAAAAAAAATGTACGTACCTACAAATAAAAGAACTACACCAAAAGTGAGGATAATTTTATTGTATTACTATTTTTGTCCATTATGGTTTGTTCCATAAAAATTGATTTATTAACATGTCAATAAAAATTAATCGCAAGGATTTATCTTTGATAACTCTGAACGTCCTTGCAAGCGAGTACGCACAAGGTTGACAACATAACAGCAGGTTATGAAAAAATGTAAGATTTGAAGTTGTATTTTTATCGATATTTTGCATAGATAAATATTGAAAAAAAAAATTGACGTAAGAAGATTATTAGCAGGTCGATAGAAACACGAACAGTGAATAAATTTAAACTGATTCTGATCTTCACTGGTAAATGTGTACAGGAATTAATTATTTCTAGCAATGTAGATCGCATGTAGAATTTTCAAAATCATAATAAACATTGTTGCTTTGACGCAGGTTGAACGTTGTAACTTTTGGTTAAGAGACAATAACGTACATCCACAGCCAAGGTAGCTTCAAATACGCATCATTGCCAGATTTCACACAGACCGACGTTACTACAATTTTTTTGAAAGATCCAAAATGAATTTTACTATTTTGGTTCCACTAGAAAATAGTAAAATCAGGATCGAAATGAGAAATCATATCGGTCGCGTCAATAAGCGGCACTGGTTACTAGCAACAATAAGAGCGGTAAAAACTATAAACGATTTGGTTATAACGAACAGGGTAATGTTTATGTCGAATTATAGTAATACACATGTGACAGTTGGATCACGTACATGTACTGGTTTGGTTAACAATATTTCTGAGAGATAGAAGAGAGTACACAAGTTTTAACCGTGCGGATAAATTTTTAAATGAAAATTTAATTTTCTACTTACTTTTCTCGTGCTTGCGCATCGGACGGTACAGAAGAGCCTTTACTCTTACCGTACATGATAAATTGTGATAATCACTAACTTTTAATGTTTTATCAGAAACGAGATGTAGGAATTAAATATATCATTAAACACAACATTTGTACAGAAAACGGTTCTCAGGGAGAGTATCCATGGTTCGAGTCGTAATACGTCCACATCACTTGCACAAATATAAACCGTGCCTGATCAAACAATTTGCCATTTTTTCCTTCACAAACTCACTACGATTTTCTAACAAAATGTGCACGGCTCCCGCGAGCGAGGTAGAAACGACCGATTCTAGGGAACGGTAAAGTGTTTCTGTGTATTGTTAACTTTGCAAGCTTGGCTTCAGTCATCTGCATTTCTATTGGCTGGCGCCGTTCTCGCGTGCTGAACCTTGTGTGTGCGTAACTATATACGTGCGGGGCTAATGACGAGTGCTGCCCTCGAGCCGGTCGTTGACCGTCACTTCAACATGACGGATAAATCGGAACCAGAATCAGAATCAGATCGGCCAATTCCTATTTGGCACATTCAAAATTAATAACCATAATTGCAATTTTGCACTAATTAAAAAAACTGGGTCTGATTTAATAGTTTTTGATCTTATTTTTGAAAAACATTTAGTGTTTGTGTACGTGTTTTAAAAAGCCTAGCGCGAAGCACTAAGAGTAAATTTTTAAACGTTAAATTTTACAGTTAAGAGTTTACATTTGCTTTGACTTGATAAAAAAAAAATCAAATTCGAACCTTTTTGAGAATTTTTTATTGAAAATATGGGGATTTTTGTTTTTCATTATCACCGGAATCAATACCAGCAACCTACCCGGCTTGATTACAGAGTTTATTTGTGGGGGTTGGAATTAATTCCAAATAGTGATATAGTAAGATATGAACTATTAATACTTACTAAATCTCTATAAAACAAAAACAGATGATATTTAAATATGTAATTCTATTCTTAGATAATACTGATTTTACAAGTTAAAATGAGTAGAATTTGTTCAAATGCTACTGTGAGAACGTGCTTCCATCTATCGATTTATATGATAATGCAGCAATTTGAAAGGAATGAAAAATATAAACTTCTTATTCCAAGTAGATTATAAGTAAAATTTAAGCATGTATAGATGCTATATTATAATTTTAAATATTTAATTAACTTCTCGTAGGGTAAGTTATAGTAATCGCAAAAAATCGAAAATGATTGTTTTTGCATATAAAAAATTGATGTATGTGTGTGAGTACGTATGTGCGGATACAAATTTTATCGACAATTTTTGAACACGGATCAACCGATTCGAATGATTCATAAAACATTCGATTCTTATTGACAAGAAGACGTGCTGATTAGTTTTTGGCCAAGAAAGGTCATGCTGGGCAAAAAGTGCCAAAAATGGTGATTCAGTTTTTGAGGTAACGGAGCGTCCAATTTGAATGATCCAAAAAACATTCAATTCGTAATGATCGGGAGAAGTGGTGATTGGAAATTTGCCTAGCCGCATAGATAAATAAGCATAAGCCGCTTCGAAGATAATGGGCAAAAAGTGCCAGAAATGATAACTTAGTTTTTGAGGTAACCGAGTGTCCGATTTGAATAAATCAAAAAACGATTTATTGTATTGACAAAATGAATAATTGATTAAATTTTTGAGCAGGCAATAAAAAAAAGCCATTTGGCGGTCAAAAATGATTATTACACATATATGCATATTAAATTATCAAATATTTTAACTATAAGTGCAAATTTTGTTTATATTTTTATGGGTTCCGTACCAATGTTATGCAATCCGTTATGCAATCCGTTATGTAATCCGTTATGCAATCCGTTATGTAATCCGTTATGTAATCCATCAGACTGCGACAAGGCGCGTACGCGCTTTGATATTTCATCTCTAAAATAACTATGCAGCGCGATTGCTTTGAAAACAAGTTCAAAATTTTCAAAAAAGTTAAAAAAGAAATCATATTAAAAAAAATCAATTTGTTGAAAGTTTTCAAAATTCTAGAAAAATCTTTTTTGAAAAATTTGAAAGCTTCTTTAAATAAATTTATTTTGCGGTACGGGAAGTTCCAGTAATGTGTCTTAAGGCACGATGCCATACACCACTAGTTTAAATATTTTATTAATTCTTAAATGTGACAGCTAATATCGAAACCTCGTCCATGTTGGAGAGTTGCCTCACAGATGGCGCATGTGGTTCATGGCAAAATTGTCAAATTGACAAGAAGAGAATTTATTGAGTGTATGGCGAAAAGTGTATTGGATGTGTTTTAATCGAAGTCCTGCCTGTCGTGCTGATTTTATTTATAATGGTTATTTAACGGACGTTATTGTAAATACTAGAACCGATGTTTGAGTTAAAGTACTGTTCGTACTACAGATTGGTGAAAACGAACGCGAAGCCGAAGTAGTGACGAGTAACGGCGAACAGTTTCAGTGTATATTCGACAGTTTGTGCCCGGAGCTAGGGGAGCTAGGCCCAGCGACAAGCGAGCGGCGTGAGTGTGTGTAGCCTGTGTAGCCTGTGTAGCCAAGCAAAGTGTGGTGTGTGCAATCAGAGAGATCTGGCAGAAGCTGGGCCTTTAGGCGTTTATTTCAGTTAAACGAGACCAAATGTCGAACCATCTTACGGTACTTGTGCTCTAGTCAGGCTGGACAAGGGACCGGGATATTACGAACGGCCAAGTAAGTAATGACATTCTTTAACAAGACAGCCGTGCCCCTGCCTCTGCCTCTGTCTCTGTGCTCGTGTCCATTTACCAACGGTTTCTTAGTTAGTGTCACTAATCCAAATGTCAAATGACACATTTTTGCCAAAATTTTCTCGAAAAGTAACCAGTGATATATAGTTAAGTGCCAGCGATATTGTGCTATTGACAGTGTTAAAGTTAGTCAAAATACACACGTGTGTTCGAGTCGATTTATTTTCTGAAATCTTAATCAATGATTTCCCCACAAACATGGTATGTCGTTCAATATTATTAAGGGTTTAGGTTTAGATTTTGGCAATGTCACTTGACATTTTGACAAAAATTAATGATTATTAACATAGATGACACTATATTTTTTTTTGACATTTGTTCACTCTTCATATTAATGTCATTTTAGCGCATGAGTATTCTTCGATTCCATATAAAGTTTTTAAATGTACTCGGATCCAACATAAGTAATCGATAAACGAATTGTAGTTTCTATTCTTGTGTAATATTTCAACTGTCCTATTGACAGTTTTATTTTCATCATTGATGTCGGCAAATTTAAAAATCCATACTATACTTTTGCCTCTGTCTCAGTTTCTATATACTTTTATACACATCATATGTTATATTATAATATAAACCCATAAAATATGTTATTTTTTGTTAGTTTCTTTCTGTTTTGTTAAGTTTCCTACCTTCCTTACGCTCAAATTCTACTTAAACCAGTGATTCCCAAAGTGCCCATATGGACCCCCAAGAGTCCATGTAAGCCATAGGTTCCCAAACTTCGTGAGACCCCTTGTTTACGCGATATCGTTCATAAAATGTTATTTTTTGTTAGTTTCTTTCTGTTTTGTTAAGTTTTGTACCTTTCTTACGTTCAATTCTACTTAAACCAATGATTCCCAAAGTGTCCATATGGACCCCAAGAGTCCATGTAAACCATGGGTTCCCAAACTTCGTAGAACCCCTTGTTTACGCGATATCGTTTATAAAATATGTTATTTTTTGTTAGTTTCTTTCTGTTTTGTTAAGTTTTGTACCTTCTTTACGTTCAAATTCTACTTAAACCAGTGATTCCCAAAGTGTCCATATGGACCCCCAAGAGTCCATGTAAACCATGGGTTCCCAAACTTCGTGAACCCCTTGTTTACGCGATATCGTTTATAAAATATGTTATTTTTGTTAGTTTCTTTCTGTTTTGTTAAGTTTTGTACCTTCTTTACGTTCAAATTCTACTTAAACCAGTGATTCCCAAAGTGTCCATATGGACCCCCAAGAGTCCATGTAAACCATGGGTTCCCAAACTTTGTGGGACCCCTTGTTTACGCGATATCGTTTATAAAATATGTTATTTTTTGTTAGTTTCTTTCTGTTTTGTTAAGTTTTGTACCTTCTTACGTTCAAATTCTACTTAAACCAGTGATTCCCAAAGTGTCCATATGGACCCCAAGAGTCCATGTAAACCATGGGTTCCCAAACTTTGTGGGACCCCTTGTTTACGCGATATCGTTTATAAAATATGTTATTTTTTGTTAGTTTCTTTCTGTTTTGTTAAGTTTTGTACCTTCTTTACGTTCAAATTCTACTTAAACCAGTGATTCCCAAAGTGTCCATATGGACCCCCAAGAGTCCATGTAAACCATGGGTTCCCAAACTTTGTGGGACCCCTTGTTTACGCGATATCGTTTATAAAATATGTTATTTTTAGTTAGTTTCTTTCTGTTTTGTTAAGTTTTGTACCTACCTTACGTTCAAATTCTACTTAAACCAGTGATTCCCAAAGTGTCCATATGGACCCTCAAGAGTCCATGTAAACCATGGGTTCCCAAACTTCGTGGGACCCCTTGTTTACGCGATATCGTTTATAAAATATGTTTATTTTGTTAGTTTCTTGCTGTTTTGTTAAGTTTTGTACCTGCCTTACGTTCAAATTCTACTTAAACCAGTGATTCCCAAAGTGTCCATATGGACCCCCAAGAGTCCATGTAAACCATGGGTTCCCAAACTTCGTGGGACCCCTTGTTTACGCGATATCGTTTATAAAATATGTTATTTTTTGTTAGTTTCTTTCTGTTTTGTTAAGTTTTGTACCTGCCTTACGTTCAAATTCTACTTAAACCAGTGATTCCCAAAGTGTCCATATGAACCCCAAGAGTTCATGTAAACCATAGGTTCCCAAACTTCGTGGGACCCCTTGTTTACGCGAAGTCGTTTTTTATGATTTTCTAACTGTATTAAAGTGCATTATTAAATATTTAAAGTTAAAATACACGCTACTTTTATACATTAATTGAATTTAAAATAATAAAAAAATAAAGTATGCTAAAAGTATATGTTTAATTATCAACATTTGGCAATAATTTGGCCAACATTTGGCAATGAATAAAATAAAAAAAACAATTTTGTAAGGTTTAATCTTACATCTTCCCGCTAATGACGCCATTATTTAACAACTATTGAATCGTCTTTTATCTTTAATATCCAGAAATACTATAACAGTCTCAAAAAGTGCAAAAAATATTGCCAAACCTTTCAGTTGTCAGCAAAATGGGGCTCAACTATTTTGCGACC